GGTTATCATTGTCCAAACATTATGTCAGTATTAGCTTAGTGATTAGAGGCCGTCAAAGTCGAGGTGTAACTATATGATATAATGTTGCTAGACCAAATTAAGGAAATTAACTATTTCGGTAAAGATATGCGTATGTACGCAACTACGCACATACGCAATATTCTTTAGACTAGGAAGTAAGATACTGGGTGCGTAGTTATCTTTCATATTTGTCGTAACATAATTTCAGAGACAATGAAACATCTTAGAACTAAAGATGTCATAATATTTTGTAATTAATTATACAAGTGGTCTCGGGTTTGATTCCCGGGTCGGGCAAAGTATTACTGGGCTTTTTCAAAAAATCTCAGTAGTAGCACGGAGTCTGGAATTGTGCCCGGTATATGGCAATAGGCTCACCCCCTAATTACATGGGACTCATAACATAAATAGTGAAAAGTGGGTGTTACATTGTACAGTGGCATGAAGTGCCGTAATGCACACCTCTGCCTACCCCTTCGGGGGTATAAGGCGTGATGTTAGTTATGTTATATACCAAATGTAACTAGTTACAAGTTCTAAGAACTAGGATACTGAAAACGACAAAGAAACATCGAACTGAGAAAAGATACAACCACTTTTGACCTGAATATGATGGAGGTAACCCAATATGTTTACATTTGGTACGTGTCTGTATGTAAGTTATATTTTTTACATAGCAAAAATACTCAAGCACCCTAACCACCGGAATGTGCCTTAAGGTATCTGACTGCGGTTTCTCCAGTCTACAAAGTGGAATAGTGGAAAAACTGCGGTAAGAATGAAGAACTATAAAAGACCTTCAACTCATGCATTACTGACGAAGGAAAGCTTCGGCACGAGACCGGAAAATTAACTACGAAGCCATAAACCATCATAACGACTGTAAAATATTAAAGCAAAAAGCAGTAAATGAAAACTTTCCGAGCATATATCAATTATTAAAAACATAATACACATCAGTGCTCCGTGACGTGCGAGTACTAGCGCCAGCCAATCAATACAAGGAAGACATTCTGCTAAATAAGCAAAACTTTCTCCAATTCGTTACACAAGCATAAATATAGAAAAAAATTAGCATCTATTTAGCAAACCGTGTAAAGTCAGCGTTCATTGTATCGATCGCATAGTTAACTTCCTATTCGCTTCGCGTCACCTTGCGCACGCGCATCCAACATGGCGCGCGTCAGTCCGCTTCGTTAGTGGAGCATTTGTCAAGATAATTGTCCGAACAACACCATTTGAGGCTATGACATTTCCTGATTATTATGAATAGTTTACCTTTTGTAACTTCCTATTGAAACTAGTGATTACCCTTATTACCCAGATACAAGAGTCACATTGCGATAAACCAGAGTTACTGGACCGCATTAGGTGGTGTATTGTATGTGTGATTCAGCCTTGGCTTTGACATTGTGTCGTGGTCGGCCAAATTCGGCCGTTTTGTGCTCAATTACGTCGGCAGGCGCGGATTGGCCACTACGATGACACAGAGACATTCAAATGTTTTGTTTGCCCCTCATTTCAATGACACCACAAGAAAACTTGAACCTTCAAGGTGAATTTTACAATGTGCTGCAAATACATCGGATAATCAGATTTCAAAGATAAAAATTTAAAAATAAACTTAATAATACGGACTGTCTCGATCTCATTAAAGACTGGTTCTTTCATGCAAACTGAAGTAACTCGCAATATGACCCCAAAACCACTTTTTGACGCTGATTCCAAATTAACCATGTAGTTTTTTAATCAGTTTTTATACTTATATCGAGAACCTTTTTGCTGGGGAACCTATTCAAAATTCGAATCATTTAGTTTTTTTTTTCTTAGACTGTTACGTGCAAAAAATATGTTGATATGTTACGTGACTGGCCCTAAAGACTGTTTGTAACGAACGATATAATAACACCATAAGTGCTGTATGGGCCTCAATGGGGTAACCTCTCGACACTGTTGGCTCAGCCGGTACGACGTAACTTAAATTATTTATTTTAACCGAAAATTATCGTCGAAGTGTACAACACACTTATTATCTGATCAAAAACAGCCCAGTGCGACAGGTTCTTTCTTTCTACCTTAAAGTAAATCGTATGTCTATCTCGCTCCATCAGCAATGAATAGCGACATTCTAAGCATTCATTTTCGGTGAATGGCTAACTTTGTGCGATAATGGTATTAGTAGTTGAGCAGATACATTAGATAACAGTAAGTAGCAGAAAGGATTTGTATGACAAAAAACGGTACTTAATACTAAAATATAAATAATAAAACATTAATCACTGATATGATCATACACCGATAAAAAAGTTGAAGGTTTCAGATGTCAATCTAGCGCGTCATCGTTATTTTAATAATAATTTTGAAGCGATTATTATCTGCATAATAATTATTTACACAATATTTTGATATTCAAATACCTATCATTCGATTCAGCTAAGTATTTAATACCTTATTTTATTTTTAGTAACTTTGAAATGAACTTGACATGGCGTTTGCTGCAATAGCTGTCAAAATAAAATAAAAAATGTTTTAAACATTACTGTTTGTGTATACCAACTTATTAGTTTGTAAATGGTAAAGTTGCCTACTTACCTACTTAAGTCAGCGACGTGTAAATATTCTACTACCAAAGTATTGTCTAGGCAACAACTCGTAATGTTACAACTAGAATAAGTAGTTATTGAAATGAATCATGCGCATGCATGCGTAAAAGTGACCTCGATAGTACAATTTGTTATTGTTACACTGAACACTGAAATATTGTGAAAGTTATACACGTTCCTGTCAAAAATTGCAATATAAACGAAATTACTTACATTTGAAATCGATTACCTACAGTTTTTTGTAAATAAAATCGTCTCGAATCGAAAGTGGGTACACTAAATAGCAGAAATAAAGATTTTTCAAACCTGATCAAGTTCTGTTTAGTGTTTTAGAATTTTTAGATTTAAACGATGTTTCTTCCTAACAATAAGACAGGTAGATTTCAGTACCTAATATAAATAGGTAGGTACAATACAAACAACCACTTTCGGTACCTAGGTACGTCAAAATTGTGTTCCAAAGTAGGTTAATAGTAAAGGTATGGCTTATTAAACAGTTATTACTCAATATTAACTTTGTAAATCTATTCAAGAATGTTATTGAAGGTCGTATCTTCAACTAAATGGCGATTGTATCATAGGTACATATCATTAACAATTATCTCAAACCTGCAGCGAAGGGAAACAATAGACTCACTGTAAAAGCAAATTATTCGAATTAAAATAATGATGATGATACTGTAATGACGTCACTTTATTTGAGGACATAATGCCGCTTGATAGTGGAGATTAAATCTCTATTTACTCGACTTATCGTTTTCCCATGGAAACTGTTATAGGTACCTGTTTCTTGTTCATAGGTAGGTTAGCTACCTAATGTAGGTACAGACCTATTGTAGAGATCTGTGTGTACGAATAGGTAGGTAAAGAAAATTCACGAATATTGTCTCAAATCATAAATAGGTAGTAATGAAATCAAATGATAGAAAATAAATAGGTAACTACTAATAAATCAACAAGTGAAATTAGCCTTTACGAGACACTTGATTAAGTAGGTGCGTACATATCTAACTATAGGCAATTTTTATCGATTTAAAAGCGATTGATTTGATAAAAAAAAATACAATTTTATACTAAAGATATTCAAGCAGATACGGTACCAAAATTGTGTTGCTACATATAGGTATCAAGGTATTAGGAAAACGCAATACAAACTAGATTTTTAAATAGTTTCATGTTATTCTCATCTCTAAAACGGTTTGTACTTTACAAAGAATGTCATCCGTACAAGCGAGGCTTAGTTACAATTCCACATACAGCGAGAGATTTTATGCTGAACATGTCGTGCATCCTGTCCACGGCTCGCAGCCAACGGGACCTCAGGACGATACGCGACACAAGACACTATCTACGCGTGTTTTTACGTTTTAATATGCAAGAATGCAGCCATTTTGATTGATGTCCTACCTTTAAACCACAATTTAACGATATAACCACACAGTATTTGAATAAGTTGTTTTAACAATGATTAATTACTATTACTAACCTTGTTACGGAAAATAAACAGATTACGCAATAATAATAATACAGCAGAAAATAAATAAACCATGTCCTTATGTTATAATTTATTTTAATACAGTGCAATGTCACGCTAGTTAGCAAAATTATTGAACGTCACTTTTTTCCCGCCAATTCTTTAGTAAAAGTAGGTAAGATAGCGAGATTCTGCAACTATTTGACAGCCAAATCACCAACAAGTTGCGACAAGTCTTTTTTTGTGTAAAATTTATTTGTTTTTTTTTTTAAGAACTTACCTACCTGTATGATTAATAAATACATCGTTTTGATGGTATTAGAAAGTGGTTTCGGCGATAGGCGGAGATGTGTGGATTTAATTTCAAGTCAGAGAGAAGGCGTTGGATAGGTCGGAATAAGTTAAACTTAACCTTACCTAATTTACACAGGCAACCAATAAATATTAATAGACATGCCTAGGTACCTACCAAAGTGTTTTTCAAACATTACTAATTCCAATGACAGTTAGCACCTACTACCTACCAGTACTACCTAAGTAAATAAGTAATTCTTATAAAAGTGGGTATCTGAACAATTACACACCTGTCAGTTTATTTTTTTTAAACTACCCTCCATTTTAATCACAGAATGTGTATTTAAGTAGGTAGGTACTAGGTACCCACCGAATGTTCATTTCGTTAGGCGTGTTCATACGGTGTACCTACTACTCAATACCATTTTAATAACTCGATGAAATCCGTTAGATCAACACCTGAAGAGTGGTCGGCCTACGCACACATGGACATGTACTGTACGTACTACGTTAGTCAACGAACACACCTACACGCGAATATTTCATCTTGTTGATTAGAAATAAACGACGTTCAAAACTTGAATTTAAAGGTTTGTAATGACACTCACCCGATTGGATTCCAAAGCCTCAGCACTATGCTCCTCCTTCTGACGGAAGCAATTAGTGCATTTGCTCTTGTTGAAGATGTTTGGTGCAAATTTCCTGCAATCCGATCGCCCAGACATGATTGCCAGAGGTCAGGGTCTATTCAACGTTCACTATGTCACCGTACACAGCATGATGCTACTGTAAAACACCCACACTAGACGATTAATCGCCTTTTTTCGTACCGAACACGTAGTTTATCACGCGCGCACCCACCGGTGAGTGAGCTATCAGCGAAATCACTGCAAGTGAAGTGAGCGCTAACGTCATATAAAACACATGCACTAAACACAATCTCCTTCGGCAACCGAACACCGAAGTAGTCGTACAATCGCGTAAACAATATTCGTATTCACGTCAAAATATAAAACAATAAACATCGATTTCACAACGAACACGCGGAGTTCGCGAGCGCGCAACGACACGACCGCCCGTCCATTTTACATCTGATAGAAAAGCAGCGAACACAGTTTGTTGTTTTACAACTTCTCTTTTCTTGTTTATGCGTCTGTAACTTAAAATGTCTATGTGTGAAAATCTTGTCAGTGTGTGTGAGTATCCTTATCTCTCTCTGAAACCAGCTGTTTGAATATGTCTATCTCTGTCTTACACTTCATTAATCGCTCATGCAACTGGTGCTGCCATCTATTGACATACTTTACAAGCAAACCAACTCAAGCAATGTCATCGACTCTTGAGCAAGCGTGTTGTCCTAGTTCTAATAAATCCCGATAGATGGCCATAGTATCATGACAAATAGTGGTATATCACACAATACACATAATATTTGGTCATTTGGCTGCATTTTTTACTAGAATAGAAAAAAATCATTGTTTTGTTATTTATAATAGCTTCTTTTATGAAAAACAAATGTTGTAAAATACATTACACAAAACTGAAATAAGAATTCAAAACATTACTTTTTATGATAGCTGTTTTATAAAATGAAATAAAATACATTATTTTAACAATAAATCAATAAAAACTAAATATTACTACCCGTTGAGAAATACGTTTTGAAACTCGGAAACGAAACGTATTTGAAATTTTGACATGGGTTGTCAAAGCTGGTGATGGTTGAGTTGACACTGACGGTAATGACAGTTCAACCGATCATACGATGTATGACGTGTGTGTGTGAGCGGTGTGCCCAATAAAATAGCCGTGCGCCGCATTTACGTTATCATACGCTTTCCCTCTTTAAACGTCCACAAAAATTATCAGTCTCGTTCGTAACATCTAGTAAACGGACGGCCTACAGTTTATTAACAAATTTTTTGATCCTCCCATTCATAGTCAAGGTGAGAGTTGTGTAGAAACAGCACGCCCGCCCGTCTAGTTCATACTTCACATATCGCCTTGAATATCTGCGAGGGAATTTAAAATGTCCCTGTATGTTTAGTCATCCGGTGTAATAAAAATTGGTGCGCGCTCATAACCATTATTAGTGTAAGAAGGTTGAATTAAAACGTGAAATTGTGTTCTAGTATGGAGGACTTGAGTTTCGTTCCCGACCTCCCGAGCGGGCCTCTGGATAAGTACAGAAAAACTGCTTCCTTCGACTGGAAACGCCTCAAGTTGGCGCTGGAAGGTGATATTGAGCTCCTGAAACTCAAGGTATGTGATAGAAATATGAAACCTGTTTTAAAATATTCTCATTTGTACATTGCACAATATTTGTTAGAAAATTCGCGCCATTTACATTATTCATTCAAAGGGGACTCAGAAACTGCAGATATTGTAAAATTTATCACCGGATTAGAAAATTCCTGAATAGCAATTGCAATAATAGAATCACATAACACAGCTATAAAATTATTATAAACTTCTAAAACATCAATTTTCCTCATACCATTCAATATCAAACTACAGTTTCTATATTAAATTATTTAATTAACAGAACATATCAACAAGAAATTAAAAATATCTTAAGTGTTCAATATTTAATGGTATTCGAATATCTTCAAATAAATGCTTGAAATAGATCTGTTATGCAAATATATAGTTTATGTCATATGTTTCAAGGTTGAATGTGATATTTGGGACATGGATCACATAGATAACTGGTCATAAGATACCCATAGAATATAAACTACCACTGATTATTATTTTTAAGACAGTAATTTAACATACATCACATAATCACTGAATTAATCTCTATTGTGATGGACTGAACTAAAATAAAGTAAATTAATGTAGTTAACTAAGTAGGCACTTATTGTACAGGTGATTTATTGTATCTTATACTATTGTATAATATTGTATAAATCGGAAGTTTGTTTGTTTGTTTGAACGCGCTAATCTCCGTAACTACAAGTCTGATTTGAATAATTCTTTTTGTGTAGGATAGCGCATTATATCGAAGATAGCTATAAGATATAAAACATCATGCTACTACCAATAGGAGCTGAGCAGAGTGTGTGAAACCGCGCGAAAGTAGCTGGTTTTATAATATATGTGATATGAGATAATGGCCAAATATCGACCAATCAAATATAAAAAAGAATTAACTAAAAATCAAATGTATTCGAAATATAATTAAGCCTTTGAGTGCTATTAGAAAACCGTTGAAGTCAAGTCCTCCACTAACATCAGTCACTGGTGACCCCCATGGCATTTAATGTGTGTAACCGGAGTTTATTTTCAACATATTTTATATCACAATAAATGTAAAAAATGATTTATTACCTATTTAAACTATCATTAAAAAGTATTTTGTCTAGAAAATAATAATCTTTGGATTTATTTAAGAACTAGCGACCGGCCTGGCTTCACACGGGTGCAATATGTGTATATTACACATACAAACCTTACTTAAGAATCACTCTATGTATTAAAAAAACCGCATCACAATCCGTTAAGTTAGATATAACAATAGCTGCTCATAATATTATTTAAGAAACGAAACAATGAGACGTTTTGAATTTATTTATTTATTTATTTATTTATTTATTTATTTATTTATTACACACACAAGTTAACATTACAGGTTTAGGACCCAATGCGATAACAAGGTATTATTAAATCTAGCGACTACTTACACCATATTAAACTTATACTAACGAATAAAGTAATCCAAACAATTACAGAGAAAAACAAACCTTGTATTAAATTTAATAAAATAAAGACCAAATAAATAGTATTATTATTATTATTGTCTATCTATAACATAAATTATATAACAGAATCTTTGTGAATTCACTCGGCTGACAGGTAAAAACATCTATTTGCTCGTGCACAAGATTTATATTACGGATAGCTTGCGTAACCGCGGCTTTCGCCAGTAAGTTCGTCCTAGCCACCGGCACCGCCAACAGAGGCGGGCGCCGCCGCCTCCTTACATAGTTGTCAGGTACCCACAAACTGATTCTTTGAAGAACATCTGGGTTATGTTCCATTCCCCGAATCAATTTCACCAAATAGGTGGTAAGAGTAAACTCTCGACGCACCTTCAATTGATTGTACCCGACCATACCCAGCACAAATAACGAGGGATACATCAACGGATACAACGGGTACACTCCATACAGCTTCCAATACAGGTGACGAGTGAATTTGTTCTGAACTCGTTCTAACATCAGAGAGTACTTCTTTTCATTTATTTACATTCTTTTATTCTCATCGACATTAGATATTCATATTCTATAATAGACTGTGAGTCTGGTGTATTCTGCATACATAAGTTATTAGGCATACTGAATAAGCTAGCTTAGTGATCTATGCTCATTTATTTTTTTAAAGTCTAGATTATAGATTAATTATAATTTATGCATTTTTTTATTATGTCTATTAACTTTTGCTTCTCTGCTACACCTTTTTTTTTTTTTTTTTTTTTTTTTTTTTTTTTTTTTTTTTTTTTTTATAACGCGATGGAAATCCTCATGGACTTCCCACGCCGTGGGGACGACGGGGGGGTGTGCCGGACTCTTACCGGCTAAAACCACCGCGGTGTTCCTCCTCTGCCTGTGGCCGTGACCCGGGACGCCCTTGCGGATTCACCGCACCCGGCAGGCCTCGACCTACCACTAAATTGTGGCAGGTCCCGCCACGTAGCAGCCCTCAAAAGCTGCGATTTCCTTCCTCGAGTGGCGCGCGTGAACACACCGCTAACGCCTACTCCCGCCCATACAGCGGACGACTGACTCCCCTAATCAGTCGCCCGCAGGTCTCGCCTATGGAGGTCGCAGATCAGCTATCGCCTCACGGCGTTGACGGCCGGCGCGTCTATGGCGGGAAGGGAGAGAGCTGGACGCCTCCCTCTCCCTTTCAGCCGCCTCCTTTGCCAACATGACACGTTCACAGAAGGAAGCGACTCCATCCCATGCACTCTCACTGTCAACCATAGCTCGCACTACGGTCGGCAATGAGAGATCATTCCCTCCGAGCACTGTAATGAGTTCACGACGCAGCTCTGCCCATGTAGAGCACTCTTCGAGCGTATGCTGCGCGCGTATCCTCCAAATTGTCATTACAGTGATGACACGCCGACGTCTGCTCCCGGCCTATACGACACAAGTACTTTCCGAAGCAGCCGTGTCCGGAAAGGACCTGTGTCAACCGGAAGCTTGGGGCACCATGCCCTCTGCTGATCCACGCCTCCATAACTGGGCTTACCGCCGCTACTACGGCGTGCCCTGCGCTAGGTTGCGCAAGTCGCATCTTCCACTCTGCCATTGTTTCACGACGTAGTTCTAAGCGTCGTGCCTCAAGAACTCGTGGCGGATATCTCTCGCCCCGGGCAGTCAACTCCCCGCGCACCTATATAGTGACGCGAGAGCCTTTGTTCTAGGTCCCAGGGCGGAGATCCAGCTAGAAGGGTGGCCGCTTCAAAAGAGATCGTGCGGTACCCCCTTATTACTCTGACGGCCATCGCGCGCTGCGGACCTCGCAGCAAAGCAACATTGCGTTCCGTCAGACCGTCTGCCCAAACTGGTGCCCCGTAAAGGGCCATCGACCGCACGATCCCCATATACAACCACCGGCAGGAGGAATTAGGGTTTCCCAAATTAGGAAGCAACCGCGAAAGTGCCCCGGCTGCCACCCTCAGTTTGGGAACCAACTGTCGAAAGTGGGGCCCGAAGTCCCACCGACTATCAAGGACAAGTCCAAGATATTTCATTGTCGACTTAACAGAGATGTGAACACCTCCAACTACAATGTGTGACCCTGCAGGTGGACCACGCCTAGGCTTATGAAAACATAAGGCTTCAGATTTATTGAGAGCCACCTTCAGACCCAGACGCCGGATCCTCGACACGACTTGCGCAACACCAACCGTTGCCAATACCGCAGCGTCGCGATAACTCTTTCCACGTGCTGTCACCAACGTATCATCCGCATAGCAGGTGACAGCAACGCCATGAAGCAAAGCACCACGAAGTACCCAGTCGTATCCGATGTTCCACAGGAGCGGTCCTAGGACCGAGCCCTGAGGAACACCGGTCGACACCTCGTGCTGGCCCCATCTCTGGGAACCCAGGTAGATAATTGACCTCTCTGAGAGATAAGCCCCGACTGTGCGGCGGAGGTAAGCAGGCACTGCATGATACCTGAGTGCCTCCTTGATGCAGCTCCAGGGCAGAGTGTTGAACGCATTGGCGATGTCCAAAGACACCGCCAAAACCACTTCACCCCGAGATACAGCTTCCTCCGCCAAGGCTTTTACGCGCATTATAGCATCCACTGTCGAACGTCCCTGGCGAAATCCGAACTGGTCATCCGCCAAATCTGGCCCTATCAATGACAGATGTCGGACCAGACGATCAGCGATAATTCGCTCGAACAACTTGCCCGCTTCGTTCAGCAATACAATGGGCCGATAGGCGGACGGGGAATCAGCCGGGCGTCCCGCTTTCCTAATCAGAACCAACTTTCCGATCTTCCAACACCGCGGAAACTGGCCCCGCTCAAGGCACGCACTCAATAGACCTCGCAATCGGGGCTCAAGGGCCTCTATGGCTAGAACCCAAGCCCGACCTGGAATACCATCAGGCCCAGGGGCGGTATTCTTGGCCTTAAGCCTCATAACCGCCACGCTCAGCTCTGCCCGGGTAACCTCAGGCACTTCATTGTCACTGTCTTCGTCCCTTGCGTTGGGCGCCGATGGTGGAACCATAGGTGGCGGTGGATGGTTTTCTCCCGCCGGAAAAAGGACACTCACAACACTATGCAGCAGCTCTGGCCGCAGACTTTGTGTCAGTGGGGGAGCCCAAGGACGCAGTTTACCCCGCACAGCGAGGTATGGGCGTCCCCACGGGTCTCGATCCAAAGAATTAAGCTGTTGCTGGCGGGCTTCAGCCTTGGCCTCCCCAATCGCAATTTTAAGCGCCTTTTTTGCCTCCCTATAGGCGTCATATAGTTCCGCCTCGACGATGTGCGCGTCCTGTGCTCGACACCGTCTCCTCCGATATCTGGCATACTGACGTCTCGCTGCCATGCAGGCAGCACGAAGACGCTCGATTTCTTGAGACCACCAATACACTTGTGGGCGAGCAGGCAGCGAGCGCTGCCGGGGCATCGCAACATCACAGATGTGCGTCATCGCCGACTGGAACCACTCTGTCTCAGCATTTATGTCAGCCGGTCTGTCTGGTGCTGTCACCCAGGTCTGGACGATA